GCTATTGTTGTTATGCTAAATTTACCAGTATGCTTTGTGCCATTGATGTGTGATAGGATAAAAAGAAATTGGGAATATGTATTAATGGAAGATCTCTTGATTCACTGGAATAAAAAAATAAATAGAAGCTTTCCTAATTAAGGTGATTAGGAGATATACTTGGAACTCTCTTGTGCTGTGATGGGAGCAAGATGTTGTTGTAGAAGTAAAGGAACACAGATGCATTAAGGTTAGTTCATGAGAGGACACAACAATGTGACATGGCTTCCTTCCTCACTGCTGTGTTTAGAAAGCTCCAGTGTGGGAGATTACAGGGGCTGAGTTCTCCAAAGCTGAAGCCCACACTGCAGATGGGATCTCCATTCGCTTCCCTCGCTGCACTCGCATTCGAGATGACAAAGACTGGAAGACAGCCACCAACCTCCCGCAGCTGAAGGTGAGTTAACATGGCTTGCTTCTCTGCAGCATGCTTGCAAATAACTTCTGACAGCAGCCTATATTTAAAAAGACAAATTCTGATAGGATAAGCACTGAGGACACTTGCTGACTAGCACCTCCAGTGGCACGTTTTGTATTCCATTTATCCTAGGCTCAGGCTGTTTCCTGGACTATTTTGATGTCAATCCTAATTTTTTCATGGGTCTCCTTTTTTTCTCTTGAGTCTCACGAGCTGTTGTTGTGTGCTTCCGGGAAAGTTTGCTGGCAGATAGTTCTATCAGCTCTTGTAACTGCCTTCATGGTGAGCAATTTCCTTCCTGAAAGATCTGACCTTAATTCTCTTAAGTGTTTATGGTCATTTGGTTTCCCATTAATTGCTGAGATTGCGTGAGGCATCTGGGAAGTGACTAAGGGTAGCCTGGCCTGGTTCCATGGCACAGGGGCCAAATGGCAGCCTGCCCAGCTCCCAGGGCTGCACCACCCTATGCGGCTTCTATGCCTCCTTTAGTGATAGAAACCAGTTGGCCTGTTGCCACCCCAACCAGTAAGTCAGCTGTTGATGTGCTCTGTTCTCAGTCTAGTCATTGTCATTTGGGCTGTCTTCGCACTGCCTACAGGGATACTGACAGCAGATGTAAGTGCTTGTTATGCCATCGAAGAAAGGAGTGATTCAGTCCCTCTGCTGTCCAGCAATCTTTCTGGCTCGCTGTGCAGGTAGGGGAGAGAGAGGTAAAATACTCTCATGCAGAATGTTGGGTGTTGGCCGTTTTTCAGACCAGAGATCCAGATGCTGAGGAGTTAGTCTGATTTGCTCACTGGTAGATGATGTTAATGTGTTGCTTCCCTTAATGTCAAGCAGCTGGGTAGAAAGCAGAGAGCTTGAATATAGCTGACAGAAAAATGGTGACAAAAAGGTGCAGGAAGAAAAAATGTATGAGCAAACACTTCATGGGGTGGGGATAGAAAATGAGAGGAGCACATGCATTACTGCTCATGGCTCTTACCAGGTTTCAATGTGGCTAAAGGGAATGCTTTGTTTCTGCTTGGACAGGAGCTGTACCAACTCTCCAAAGAAAAGGCTGAGTTCAGTGTTGTTGCTGGGGAGGAGGAGGAGTCCACAGCTGGCAGCAGTGGAGAGAACGAGGGAAATTCCAGGTCTTCCACACCACACAAGATTACTAAAACTCCCCCTAACAAGTCCCCTGCTAAAGCCAAGAAACCAGAAGGTAAGACCCCTCACCAGGGAGGAGAACCTCATGATGTGTTCTTTGCCTTCTGAGCATTGCTTTTATAAACATGTTATGGTTAGTGGGCAAAGCTGGTTTTCAACCCTTGGTTTGGTGTCTCAATTATGATGTAACTTCTCTGGGACTTGCAGTTCCTTTTTGTCTTTAGTCATGGTTCTTAACAGAATGTGTAAGGCTGGTCTGAGCAGCAAACCTGCTGCTCCTGTTCCTGCAGCTACATGCCCTTCAGTTAGATATTTTTGTCATGAACCACTATTTAATATTATTTGGCTTAAGTTCATGCATATAGGATAAGGTACCTGGAAGAGATTCCCAGGTAGTAGACTGCAAAGCCATGCACTGCAGAATAACTTGTAGCAAACTTCTGAGCAATCCCAGAAAGGTGGTGTGGTGACAGCAAGGAGGAAAGCTGAGCTATGTAGTCAGCTGGAGAGAAAGGCAGGAACATGCCCTGGGCCATTAGTGGTAGAAAGCATCTTACCAGTTATGTTCTAATACACAGATTTTCCAGAACAGGTTGGGAAAGCCTTTACCTCTTCTTATCCTCACTTTTCTCTGCCTGCTTTCAATATACAGCTGGTATGTAGACAAGAGCACAGTGAGACTTTTCTTTTTAGGCACCAAAGCAGTCACTGAATCCCCTCAGAAGCCAGAGGAGAAACGAGGAGAGAAGCGAAAAGCATCTGAGATGGAAGACAATGGAAAGAAGGTATGGACAGTTAAGCAGCAACTACTCAGGAGCGAAGAAAAAGTGGAGGCATAATGTCCACTTCTACCTTGCACGTGGGAAGCCTTCAAAACATTTCCACAGCAGCATCCTAAATTAAAAGGAAATCTAAGGGCAGATATAGTGATGATGAGGCTTCTGTAGAGAAAGCAGACTTCTGCAGCATTTTATACACCAGCAGAGTTGACATTACTAGGTTTGTCATGCTAAAGGCTCTCTATTCAGCAGCCAACAATGTCCTGCTCTTCAGAGGCAATGCATTGTGATTGCTGAGTGGCTGCATATAGAAGAGATGAGAGCTGTAAAGGAATTGTATGCTTTACTGCACAATGAACTAGAAAGGACAAGTGGATTAAAAAATGCTGAGCTATAATTTACTGATAAGACTGGAGTAGCTGTTTGCTACTTGATGTAAACAGCAAGTCCACTCCCAGGCAATTATAGTCTCTCACTTCAACTAGGAAGCATCAGCTTGTAAAGGCAAAGGCATTAAGACCATGTTCACCTGACCACATCAGCACTAAAGGCAGCACTTGCAAGGGCTACTGCTGGAGTAATAATTCCCTCAGCTGGGGGCACTGCTCTGTTTTAGCTTCTGCTGTTCAGGGAAGCTGTATCAGTGTTATTCTTTAGTGTGATGTAATGCAGCCTAATGTGCAATTCTAGGGTATTTTATACATAGGGCAATTTTTACTTTTTTTAACCAACCTTTGCTTCTCTTCCACACTATACAGCTGCTGCTGGACATATTCACTGGTGTGAAGCTCTACTTGTCACCCTCTGTGAAGGACTTCAACAAAATCCGACGCTACTTCATAGCATATGATGGTGATCTCGTGTCAGAGTATGACACAGCCTCAGCAACACATGTTATTGGGGACATGGATGAGAATCCTGGTGCTAAGCGGGTGTCTCCCAAGTGGATCTGGGAATGCATCCGGAAACGGAGACTGGTGGCCCCATGCTAGCAGGCAGGGCAGCTGACTGCTCTTAACACTGCTACACTTCAGGAACTCCCTGAGGGGAACAGCTGAGAAGTAGGTAGGTGGAAGAAAAGGGTGAGACTTCTTTGTGGGGATCTGGATAGAGATATCTTGCCCAAGTCCAGCAGAGGTAGCTACAACTATCCATAGCAGCTATATGGAATGAATTAAATAGCTCTCAGAAGGAGGTCACTGCTGTCTGTCTTTCTGCCCATAGTGTAGACCAACACTTATCTAGGTGCTGGTTTCATCTCAATGGGTTTTTAAAAGTTTGGGTATTTTTATAAATAAATAAAAAATGGAAGCAGTTTCTCCTTTGCTGTCAGGACTTTTTTTCCAAAGCTTATTTTCTGTCTGGACAGACAAACAGACCACCACATCTGGAACTATAGGCTGTAGAGTCAGGATAATGTTGCTGCAGGCTACAGTCTACACCACTGGTATTTGCTTGGGATGGTTTGAGTTCTGTTTTTTTCTGTTTCTTTACAGACCTTTGAATGTTAACTAGCAGCAGTTTGCACTTATGTAGGTTTCACATTAAGAGTAGGCACCAAATAAGTTTCCATTACAGTGGTTACTGCAGCATTATCCCATCCATCCTCTTAAAGTGTGCTTTCCCTCTTCACAAAGGGAAGATGCTGCTAGGAAGTTAGTTTTCTTTTTCTTTTGACAAGACCTTGTACCTCACCTTGTGATATTGTGATACGTAAGCACCTGATATCCCAAACTTTTTCTGGTTAAGTAGCTGTAGGCTCCCTGCTTTGTCCTGGGCTGCTGGCAACAGAGTCAGAAAACAAGGTTAACTAAATCACATTTCAACTTTATTATAAAATTATAAACCAAACTTCTGTACCAAAACTAGTAAGTTTAACTGTCATAGTACCGAGAAGATTTAATAGAGAATAACATGCCATTTCAAGTAGAATATTAACTTTAAAATATTTTAACTATGTACAGTGTACATAAAGCACATAAATATTTCCATTTACCTTATTAGTTCAGATCACTATATTCCTTTGGATTAAACAATTCTTTCAGATTTTTATCTAACACAAGCAAAACAGCAGTCAGAAAAAGGTGCTTTTCCCTTCAGAAAGCACATTTCAGACTTCAGCTGGGTACCTCTTCTCATTCATAGAATTTCTGCCATTGATTTGCAGCTTGATATATTTGCCATAGAAAATAAATCTACCCTGTGAAAGCAGATCTGCCCCCAGGGGAATTTTCTTGTTAAATACCCCCAGTCCTGAGTTATTGAAAAATGACATGAATTCTCACAGTGAATTTACTAATGAGACTGTTCAAAGCTTTGTGCATTCTCTGTATCTCTTAAAGATTTCCCTGTGAATCTCCTGAACAGTAAATAGTCAATGCTTACCTGCATTTTTTTTTTTTAAAAACATGATGCATTGAATTGCATCAGTTCTCATGCTGGAAGCTGTTAAACCTCAAGCCAAGTATTAGAAAACTCAGCATTTTTAGTTGAATAAGCCTCAACAGCTGTCCTGTTTTTAAATCAGGAAGTTCAGAGGCTACCTCAGCAGTATAGAGGTTGTTAGCTGTGGCATGATGGATGCTTTCATCTTAAATCCATAATCCCTACCCATAAAGCAGAGCCCCTCTGCTCTGTGCCAGCTGAGGGTGTTGCCACTCATGCAGCATTAAAGATTGCATGTTAAATATTGCAGAAGTTTGATTTGCTGTTATCTAACATTGCTTCAACAGATAGTAAGATGGCTTTAATGATACTTCTGTAACTGCATTTCCAGTCCAGAAGATTTAAGTCAGACTTGTTTCATCCTATTCCACTCTTGACACCCACACAGAGATCTAGTTTTATCACATGGATCAAAGGGAAAGTTGGGCAGGAAAAACCTGCAGCAGAAGGTACTCAAGTTCAGAAGTTACTTGGAACAGTATGCAGTCCCACAGTGGCAGAAGACAAGGCATCAAAATTCTGGAACTTTGAGCCCAATAGACCAGCCCTTGCAGGCCACTGCATGCCCATCTGTTCTCTCTAGCAAGGCCTCCAAGAGAACAAACTCTTCACAAGGACAGCTCCAAGGGCTTGTGATTGTCATCTGTCACACCACAGACCTTATCCACCCTCACAAGCAGAACAATCACAAAATACATACTTGTGCAAGCACTCTTAATGCAGCAGGGCTGTAGTAAACAGAAGCTTCTGCAATGATGATCACTTCTCATTTTATTGATTTAAGGGAGATGAAGTTTCTTTCCAGTCTCTCTTCTAACATCACCTATACTATGATTGTGTAGCAATAGAAGTCTTACTCTAGCTCACAAAATCTAAAATACTCAAGCTGTGAATTCTTAGCTCCTTAATCACATGAACTGACTGCTGACCTGTATTGTAAGGAAACCTACAAAGTCAAACAAATCAACAGCAGCACACTGTATGTCCCTGTCCTGGCACAAACAATGAACCAGGCAAGGTAAAGCTGTATGTTCCATGGTCTTTCACTACCCATTATTTTTTTCAGTAATCCAGAGTCCATCTTCAAATAAAACAATACATTTTCTCTATAACCCTACTAGGCTAGAATTAAGCTTATTCTGAAGATGGAAATTGGAGGCAATCTGCCTGTCCTGCAAGCAAAAGAAGCTAATAAGTTTAGGGGAAAAAAAAACTAGGATTTTATTCCTTGAAAACTAAGCTGTCATGGGTGTGTTGTCCAACACAACAGTAGAGTCAACATTCAATAGCAGCAAAATGAGTCACTTTGAGACCACAGTCTACTGTGTTTTATATTCAGTGAGAAGTAGGAACATTCAGGATCTATGGTGAAAAGCTAGGCATCCATTTGTCCCACCTGTGGATCCAGTTACTCTAGAATGGAGGTTGCTAATTATTTGTCTGCTGCTGACAATAAGCTCCAGGGAGTCCAGGCACTGTGGTGTAAAACAATATGGTGGAAAGAGCACAGGCAAGCATGGCTTGAGTAGGCAATTCCCCAGGCTTCATCCTTCGCTTACTTCCAGTAGGGCCTGTATCTTAATCTCTGATCTAACTTTCTGTAGCAAGCACCCCTCTCTCTAAAAAAGATGAGGCTTTAAGGCATCAGTCTCCCATATGCATACTTAGGACTTAAAGACATGGACAGCCCTTATCACATACTGCCTGCATATGGGACACTCACTCATCCGCTTTCCACACTTGGTGCAGGTGACCATGTGGCCACACTCAAGCAGGACACAGTCTATGGGTAAGTCCATGCAGATTTTGCAGAGGTTGTCCTCTACACCAGGAAGCCCAGCACCACCTAGGTAAACAAGAGAGCAAAGGTATGTCACTGTGCAGTCTGTGAGTTGCATTTATCCCACAGCTTCTGATACATTCACATATTGAAGCTTTAAGAAATCCCCTTTGCATCTGTATTCACGTGGGTATATAGCTGCTCCCATCAGCAGGAAAGCTTTAGCTTTCACAGTGTTTTCTGCACAATAGAAATGGAGGGGGTAGCACTGAGATTCTTAGCAATGACACAAATGAAGCAACATGCAGAATATATTACTTACCAGTTTGATCATCGGTGTCAGAAACTGCAACGTAAAGAGAGAAAATTATTTGGTGGGAATAAGAAAAACTGGGAAGAAAGTTCCTCAAGCAGTACTATCACTGCAGTTTCAGCAGCCCCTTGTGCCAATTTCTTTGATGTTAAACAATCTACCCATATTGCCAAACACAGCTGAACACATGCACACGAACAGGTAGCAGTAATCAAAGGGAAAGGATACATTCCTTCAAAAGCACAAAATGCAGCAAAATATGACACTGCTATATGCTTCTACTTCAAATAATTTTAAGTATATGCTGTTTTTTGTTTTGTGGCTTTGGCTTTTAATTACCAGAAACTGCACACCAGGACCTGAAAGTCAAGTCAGATACACTCTTTCAGCACACACCACTGTCTTCTCATCAGTCAGCTGTGCAGAGAGCACAAGGAAGATCCCTTTTGTGATAAGGTGAATGAAACCAAAGTCCAGGTAACCACAGCAGTTCAGCAATGGGAGCCATTTGCTGACCACATGCCTGCTCTCAACAGAGCAGCTGCATCTCAGTGGTTTATGGTGAGGCACCTTCCTGCTCACTCTGCCTGTTACCATGAGTCAAGTGATGAAAGCAGCTGTGATCAGCTGATCTGTGGGTGATGCAGCAACATGCACAATCTGCCACAGCTATATGAAATCCTGAGCTGGTTCTCCCTTACTGCTACTACAGAGAAGTCACTCTCCATGGCTAGCACAATGCTCTGCTCATTAACACTTAGAAACTGATCAGTAGTTGAGCTACTTTCACTATGATGTGTATACTAGAACTTAAACCTCTATTCTCACTTGCAAGAAGTGTTAGAATTTATTCCCTTCTGCAACTGTCTATAGAAAAGGAAAACACATACACACTTGCTAAGTTTCTTACCTAGATGCTGGAGGTCTTTCTCTTTATAAAGCCGAGTCACCCTCTCCAACAGCTCCCACTTTTCACAGCAGCCTTTGTAGTTGACAAAGTTGCGAGCAAGAATTTCCTTCAGCTGTCGCACAGACAACTCACTGATGTCTCCAATGCTTGTTAGATCAGAAAGAGAAGCCTTCCTCCCCTGCACCAGGTTATCTTCTGAGTCAGTAGACTGAAAGGGAAAAAACTTGGAATGATTCTTGCTCTCAACACCTAGCTTTATAATTTAAATGAACTTTCAGATAGTGGGAATTTATCAGAAATACAAATCCTAGGATGGAAATGAATCTTTCCTATGGTGATAGCATCCACATGACACCAGTTCTGTAAGTGAAGGACAAGATGATGCTAAAGAAGGGGGCTGGGAGGGTGTTCAGTCCAAATTGCTGTGTTTAGCCACCCATCTCTGTAGTAGTGGTTCTGTGGTGGCAAATACAACCTGGGAAACCTGGTGTTCCTTGTTCTTTGTCTCATTCTAAGACACAAACCTGTGTCTCCTCCTCTGTTGGTGCTTCTGCTGCATTCTCAACTCCTGTCATACCAACTTGGCTTGGAGGCACATACCCAATTCCCTAAAAGAGGAAATAAAGCTTTCACCAACACCATATTTCTGCTTGTCCAGAGGGAAATTAGCTTTACAGTTCAGCATAACTGCAACACCCCCCCACACACCCACTGGACTGACAAATGGCAGCACAAGTAAAAAACTAGGCATGCTGGCAGAAGTATTTCCTGTGCAGCACATTGGTATCAGTGCAGGTCTCTTCTTAAAACCACATCTGAAAGACTACTCAAAGACTACAGGTACCTCCTCAGCTTGTTCTGATCAGAAAAATAGGAGATACTAAGTGGAGGACCAGCAGAAACAACACTGGAGAAAGAAGGGGCAGTTGCTCTGATCATCTAATAAAGTGAAAGGAACTGCAGCGTAATTGCAGCTGGCTGCCCCTCAGCTGTCATTCCCCTCTGGTTTCCCTACTGACAAGTGAGGCTGGCTGTAATGTTACCATCCTACTTAGGGAAGTGGTGACTTGCTAATGTTTACAAAACAAAATAAGAATATCAACAAAAAGAGGACCTGAACTGTAGCAGGATGTCCTGCGAGTCAAGAAAGGAAGCTGAAATTATTACAGGGCAGTAAGGGTACAGAGTACAAAGGTTAAAGAAAACGGGATTCAAAACATCCATGAAACTGGAAAATGAAAAAGCCCCTTTAAATACTTGTGGGTGGTTTTTTTTGTTTAAACCATTTTGGGATTTTTTTTGTACTAGAGACATCTGCTGAGGAAGCACAAGGTAAATAGTACATCAACTTTCACTGCTCTGGTCTACAGGAAGTAAATATGCCCATTAACTTATGTAACAGGACCAGGAGCAGATGTCAAACACTGTGTAAACTTCCCAGGCAAGATAGCAGAAAGACAAACAGAAAAAATCAATTTAAAAAAGCAAACCTTTACAAGGTTCATCAGAACAACAACATTCATCATAAACAGGAGACTAGCAACAGAGCTGGGGCTTTGTCTTCTATTGATCTGGGTGCAGGTGACACTAAAACCCTGCCCATCTCACAGCACTCTTTCCCAGCATTTCCAGATGCAGGATTGCTTTGGACTGTTTGCACTCAAAGAACAATAACAATTGTATGTAATATTAAGTTAAATGGTTGTCAAAGTTGTCAACATCAGCACAGAGACAGATCCATGCACCTGCTTTTTAAGCAGATATCTTTAATGTTAAACTTCCACAGCACACTGCCTACTTGGAAAACCTTGTGCAGCATCTTAAAATAGAGATGGACCATTCTACAAGAGATGCTTCTGGTTGGAGACTGTACCTCTTGGTGTTCCTGAGCTAATGAGCTTGAGATGGGATCTGCAGACACTGGGGATGTGTCGTGTGAGGTAGGAGAGGCTGCGCTGGGTGGTGGGAGAATCACAAAGTCTTGCTGTCCAGAGGCACTAGTATGAAACGGGTTTGTTCTCATCTGTTCCTCCTGGCTAAGTGCTGGTTGGTGGCCAAGAACCAGGAACACCAGGTCCTCCTTCTCACGGCACAGCTCGGTGGAGATCTCACGGAGCGCCAGGTAATCGCGCAGATCCTTCACTTTCATCTTGATCAGCTCCTCCCGCTGGAAAGCTGTGGCTCGGACGCGCTGACAGAGGTGGCAGAGCAGGGGGCCGCCTTCAGGCTGGCTTGAACACGATGTGCAGAAGTTCTTCTTACAGTCCAAGCAGATATGCTGGCAAAGAAGGGAACAGAATCAAACAAACCCGCCGTGCCCTGAAACAGCAGCACAGCAACCACAGCAGTGGCACCTGGAAGCTAAAGCGAGCTGTACCCCCAGAGCACCATCAAACCCTTCTCACTGATAAGTGGCACCAAGTCTGTATGGCTGCTCCCAGATGAGGAGGACTGCTGCTAAGAGCAGACAGCTGGAATCCTTTCATAGAAAAGCACTGCTCACACCAGAGACCTGCCCAGGAAAGAATTCATTCTGAAATAACTCTGCACCACATTCATCCATGTTCATCCAGACCTGTTCATCCAGTTGAGGCCACGGATGAAATCACAAGAACCTGCAAGGCAGCTGCCTGCTGAGTAAAGCCCAGCCAGCTGTGCATTGCCTATAAAACACCAGTCTGTGCATTAGGAAGGCTCCAGCATGAGAGAGAACTGCTTAAAACACATCTCCATTTCTCACTTCCTATGGGCAACTGCCTCCCACCCTTTCTTCCCGTCCACTTCACCACAGTCATGGATGTTTTCACTGTAAGAGGAAAAGGAGACAGCAAGGCCTACACTGATAGACAACAGAATTCAACTCTTATGCAACAAAACCAACTTATTTTCTATGACATGCACAGTGTGCGGGAATTAGTGCTAGGCAGAAAGCATTGGAGCTTTTGGAAATATTAGGCCTCAGATGTTTAAAAGCTTTTCAGATCAAGTTCTGTTGTTTAATGCATGCATTTCCCCCTGCTCTGATGTCATCACCCAGGGCTCAATTTCCAGGAGCTCCAACCACTCACCATCCACACTGACATCTGAAAAAACTGATCAACACTTGGGAAAGTCAAACCCTGCATTTTCCAATAGCAATTGTAAAAATGCACTTCAGAGAGACCATTAGCCTCACCACCCGGGTTCTGGGCTTTATGATTTACACCCTTTATTTCTAGAGCTGCTCGGGGTGGAGAAACAGCTTTCTCCCTCCCGTTTATGGCTCAGAGCACCCTCACCCTTTGGAGTGCTGCAAGGAAAAATGCCCATGAAGACTTGGGGGGAGTGACAAATAGAAAATGATTGGGAAAAAAGTTTCACGAATTGCTCTTTGTGATTCAAGAACACTTCTAACATCACAGTTCAAAGACAGCAGATGCATGCCCTGTGTTACAAGGTGTAACACAGCTCCTGCTGACAGAAGCTCCTCCTGAACCTCTCTGCAGCCTGGCAGCCCCACAGCGCCAACCCACAGATTTACCACCAAAGGAAACTTCTGCACAGAGGGAATCCCCAGTCACACAAACCTGAAACTCATCTCAGAATTGCTTTTCCCTGGAGGAATGGCAAGTAAAAGAGGCCTTCATCAGTCACAAATAAGGCAGGAAGGGCATCTCCACTTCTCCAGTTCTGAGAAGCGTTCTGTAGCTTGGTCATTATGAAAAATACATTTTAGAAGCTTTTAACTGACTTTTTTTTTAAACCTTGGGATTGCAGGAGCAATGCAGTTACTCAGAAGTTTCAGGGTAGAGACAGCATTCTGGTTGTGCTGGAGTGGGAGAACAAGCACTGCAGGAAGGCCAGTGAATGGGAAGTAACCACACAGACAGCACTTCCCTCTCCCAGCAACCCACCCTCTGCAGGACAACCATCAGGAGAACTGAGGGGGGAAAAAAAACAAACATGAATACACACTGTGCTTGCTTCCAGCTGAAAGGAGCCTCCCCCATGCTCAAACTCCCACACTGACTTGCAAAGGAACACACTCTACGGCCAAGGACCTTCCAGCCCCAAACTGTGCCTCTGTGCCCAGATATCACAGCTCTGAGTGCAGCACAAAGTGTTATGCACCGTGCTTTTTCCAAGCAGCAATGCCACAGCCAGCCCCAGTTATCTATCATGCACTCAAGAAGTCAAAACACAACCAAGTCTCTGACCATCATCAGCTCCCACTGCTCTCCATCTTAAGGGGAAGCCGTCCCAGCCTGTGCTTCCACAATTACATTTTACATCTTTTAATGATGCTCCAGTAGTTACTTAAAAGCATCTTACAAGTACATGCTTTGCTCACATGCTCCCTACCCCACTCCTTTCAGTAGGTGCCATGCTACATGAATTTGAATCAAAACTATCTTTAATTTTCAAGTACTTGAAATACCATAATTCTGCCTTTTTAACTAAGTTTAAGTCATTGTTTAAGTTATCCACGTGGTCTGCAATGCATAAGGAATTCATATTTTACCCATCGTATTCCAGCACAAGGATTAGCTGGATACTGGAGTTCAGAAGTACTGCCTCTCCTGGGACAAAACACAGTTTTCTGTGGTCTTGTTGCATCAGAGAGACTTCATACGTGGCTTGGTCCATATCAACAGAATTAAAGAATTAAGACAGCTTACAAATATGTCAGTTTTTCCTCTAAGTTGTGTATACAGTTCTTTATGTCAAACCCCCATCTGGAGCAGCCTTCCTGCAGCTGTTCTGCATCACCACCTGCAGCAATCCAGCTCCAGTCAGCCCCTGAGATCCAGCCCAGTAGCCAGCGTGGCAGAAGTGGCCCATGGCTTAGGAACCCCCCCTTCACAATGCCAAATGTAAGCCTCACACATTTTCACATATAGCACAGAACGGGAGCAGCTGAGACAGAAGCACACGCTGTACTGGGCTGTCCCACAGGACACCACAGCATACAGACAGCACTACAACAGCCACGTGCAGTGCTTGCACTATTCCCAGCTGACTCAGACACTGCCCAATGCCAGGGAAAAGCCTAAGAGTACATACAAGAGGAACACCCCCAGATTTCAAGCTGTAATGATTTCTGGAGCACTTCCCAGTGTGAAAGTTCCTCAACATCCCTGTTCTAAGAGTAGAAAGCAACAGCTGGACCAGGACTTACCACTTCTCTGCTATTTGCCTCCATGAACAAATAGATCACACACTGAGGCAGCAGTTTGGACTCTGAACAGCTTTCTTTACTCAAAGCTTTTTCAAGCAGCACTATAGGAACCACCACACCCCAATAACATTGGTGGCAGCATTTGCTGTCTAATTAAAAGACCTTGTGGCAACAATTATTTTGGCATCAGTATGCTCACAAATGAGGTTTACAAACAAGATTAAATGAATTAGGTTATTTTTTTTTGACACCAAGCTTCAGCAATGCAACACAGCTTCAAAAAACCTTTATGACTTTTAGTTTGCAATAGTAGCTTGGAAGAGATACATGGATTTTCCTTTAATGAAAGCAGAGATAAACAACAATGCTTCTCAGTACAATGGTTTTTTTCTTTTTAAGGAGCAAATTAAAAGTTAATGTTGAGTGTAATGCTCCTCTAAGTGATTACAGCTAGGAAAGCCAAGATGGAGGTTACGCCATCTTTAATAATGTCAGCTAGTTGCCAAAGAATGACAACAAGAGACAGAAGCAAAGACAAGACTGCCCTTTTCCATATGGTATCCTCAAATCAGATGCCCCCAGTGAACACTCATTTCTCTTCATGTTGGCTTTTTGTAGTTAAGGGGGAGACACAGGGCGCACTGCAAACTGACCATTCCCTTAAACCAATGGCACCGTGGAAAACTCTTACAACTCACCTTCCTCGAGGAGCTGTCGAAGTGCAGCCCACACGCTTTGCAGCTCTGCTCAGAAGCTGTGGGTGATGGGAAGGAGCTGTATCCAGGGTTGGAGTAGGCTTGGGCACGGGCTCCCTGCGGCACCTGCATCTCCTCAGGTGAGCCATCCAGGCAGAACCAGTTACAGCAGCTTGCCCACATAGTAACTGAAAGGGAAAAAGAAAGCATCAGTAATTTGAGAAAAATCAGAGATTAACTTCTACTAACTTATTTAGGAACACAGTTGTACACAATTACTTGTTTGTTCTCTTGCAAGCCAAATACTGACATGTACACACAACCTAAAATCCCAACAGCTCAGTACAAAACGCAGCTTTGCCTTCTTAGACCACCCATGGAGAAGTATTCCAGAATCACTGCTGGCAATTTCCTTTGGGAGTTACAGAGGAATTAGAATCCATCTGGGCATTTCAGAGCACACACCACATGTCACCACGTTCTGCTGAACAGAGCACAAACTGCCTCCTCTGCACTTCTGCCTTTGCCCTGCAGCCCCTGGCCTAACACTGCAGCGTTGGAAGATGAGCTTAAATGCAGTTGTTTACAACCATACACGAGAATGAATGAGAGCAGTGCAGGCTCTCAGTGCCACACAGCCCTGCAGGCACCAACAGCAGTGCTGCAGTGTCAGCTTGGTGCTCATTTCTATATGCCACCACTGTCATCCTGGATAAGCAGAGGTAATTACTGCTTGATAAATACACAGAGACATTCTGTGAACAGCAATAACACATCACTCATTTGCATGAGCTCTGCACTGCAATCAAAACACACACTTTAGATATCACAAAGTTAGTTTCTGCACACTGATATTCAAGCAATCAGCCCTTCTCTGGCAGTAACACACTCCAACATCATGCAGAAGCACTGAATTTGTGTTTTAAGTGGTGCTGTTGGAGGCTTGTTCCTACAAACTGCAAATCTAAACCACAGGAGAGATCCCTGCACAGGGAAACAAGCATCCCCAGGCCCTGCAGCAGCACAGGCGAGCACTCCTGCTTCAAAGACCCCCACAGACCAGAGGCCACCCACGAGAGCACAACACACAAATGCTACTGCCCACCCCCAACACTTTGTTTTCCTAACAAGCCCACTAATTCACTCCGGAACACTGCAACATGTCAAACGTCAGGAAGAAAAACAAGGGAGTGCACAAAGCAGGATGGAGTAACACAGCTCCACATTCAGCTGATGTGTGTCAGTGCTGGGAAACAGAAAGGCTGACAACAGCCACTGAGCAGGCTGCCTCTGATCCGTGGGTCTTTTCCCAAAGACACTTTCCATCATTATGGGAGCACATGGAAACACGACAGCTGCTCACACAACACAGACAGGCACACAGCTGCAGCCTGCAGTAGTGTATGGCAGGTTTTAATCACTTACAAACCTCTGTGAATAAGTCTGCCTGCATGCAGGGCTTGCATTGACTGATGCTCCACTGAAGTCACTGTGGAGATGTGTGACAGCCACACGACCAATTCTCCAGCAACTCAAGGAAAAGATGTCAGCTATGCCAGCAAGTCAACACTGCAGGCAGCACTGACAGCAGCAGTCTTCATTATTCCTGGATACAGCACTCACAGAGGCCAATGGCAGAAAACAGATGTTTCACTCATGCAGCTGCAGGATGACAGCAGATAACACCTTTGGGAAAGCGCAAGCTGAACTGCAAGGCAAGCAGCAGGTAACTGCAGGCAGCCAGGCTGCCCTGAACCATGCACCTGCAGGACCTGTGAGAACCAAGGGTGGGGGTACAGGATTAAAACCAGCCTTGCCTGGGCATGCAGACGCAGCCACCTGCGTGGCAACCAGCTCTACACATCCGTGAGCTCTGTATGGACCTGCAAGCACTACTTCATCCCAGAGGAAACATTACTGATATTCAAGTTTTCATCCCATATGCTATCAGAGATGGTATTCATAATGCATGCCTGGGTTTTGATGCTTTCTACATTCACTTTCAGTATTTTAAGTCAAGCTCTCACCATCTCTCTTACTCTATATGCAGTAAGAATGCCAACACCTTCCTGGCTGGAGCAGCAGTCTGTCTACATGCAGGATTTATTACACATGCATCATGGGTTTCTACCAAAAGGTGGGCTCCAGCTGTATGGCTTGATGTCTGAATAGGAAAAGGGATTTATTTTATTTATTTATTACAAGAGTGCAAACCATAAGGGACCCAAGCAAACAAAGCCAACATTTCTCACAATCTTTGAGCTTTCGGTTCCATTTACTAGAGCTCTCTAAGTGTGCTTGGCTGCTCAGGAATGTAGGAAAAGGAGCACAGTGGCACCAAGGAGACTCTTGAGTGGAGGGATCAAAAGGAACAGCACTGCCTCAACAGCTGATTTTGCTCCCATGTGAGCAGAAGTCCCAGCAAGTCTTCCTCCTCCCAGGAGTCCTGCAGCCACCACCGACCCCTGAAGTTATTGCAAACAGAGAAGGGTGCCAAAAAGGGAGGGAGATGCAAAACAAAGAGCAGCTTGGCTGCTCAAATGTGTTCAGAAAGCCCAACAAGTCACTGTGACTTGGGAATATCCATCTCCTCCTCCAGCATTTTTAAATTGTGATTTTTATGTTATTATTCCATGCTGTACTCCCCACAAAATTCAACAGATCCCACTTTCATGAAGCCTGTTCTGCAATGGAACAAGTTAATCAGTTGGTGCCTCATTAAAAGCAGACTATAATGGCTCATTAAAAAAACAAACAACACTGGCTAAGCCTTCACTGATAATGTGCTGCTAAAATTAGCTCCAATAAGAACCTACCACTTGAAAAGTGAAGTCACTGCTTCCTCAGGCACAAATTAGCATTTACTTGAGCAGGTTATTCTGCAGCCCTGTTATCAAGTGACATTTACTCAGTCTATCAGTCTATGTCACAGGCACACAGACCTGGATTACAATGAATGGGAGAAACCATATGCTGGGACAGAAGGGAAAGTCAAAGGCAGCACTCACAAGAGGCAAGCAGGCAGGCTGTCCTCTGAGCACAGCATCTGTAGAAGTGGAGCCTGAAACAGCATGGAGGAGAGGAAACAGGAGAGCAGGAGCCAGCCCTGTCCAGCTAGAGGGAAGCACAGCTACCTCATTCAGTGTTGGGACAACAGCTTTGGGCACGTTTGTTTTCTACCTACAAATGGAAAAGTTCTATCTATGAGCAAAGGCACAAGTCCACATGTGCCCAGTGTGACAACATACCTGTGTTACAAAACCACATAAATACCAGAATTGTATCACTGCTAGAAACACAACAGCTTGGATGAAGAGGCTGACATTTTGTTCTAGAAAGACTCAATGTTGCTCATCTCTGCTCATTCAAGTCTGCTATACTGACAGTCTTTATGAAGACAAACGTGATTGTTCTGATCAGCCACTTGGATGGCAGCCTAAGAAAGCCAGCAACAAAGAGGATGCAGCACTCCAGCCAGTCTGCAGTGAGCTCAGAGAAGCAAACATCCAGGTTATTTCATGGTAGCTTCTGCACACCAAGGAGCACATCTGCTGTGCCTGCACACTGCCTATGCCTTCCCCATAGGATGCAGAGGGCTCATGGCTGGTAGCATAGCTCGTGCTTTTGGGTAATCCATCTTCAGCTCCTCCAACAGCCACAGCCACACTCCTGCAGCTCAGTGGAGCAGGTAGGAAGGCTGCTGCAGGGGAAGCAGGAGGCACTCATCTCATTGCACTCAGCTGAGGAAGGAGCACAGCTCAGGGCTGCTCCTCAGAGCACACGAGCCCAGAGGAAGGCAATTTGGCTGCACACCAGCATCTTAATCAAGGAAGTGACATCCATTCACCACAGAGCAGAAAGGAAACAGCGCAACCCATGGGGGCAGGGCATGGAACTGTGCAGGAAGGAGCCCAGCACTGCTCTACTGCTGAAACGTGGCTGTGCTCAGCTATCACTGCTTCCAACAGTAAAACATCAAAGTATTCTCTAGTTACATTGCACACGGGATGCCACTGTGCAGACAGAGACCTTTTTATATTGCTATCCACTTAGTTTACAAAGGAGTAAATCATCTGCAGTATAAGCACTTAGAAAAATTGCTTAAAAAAAAGTTAAAAATTAGAGATTTCAATCATGAAAAAAATACAGGTGGCAGTCCAGGATTACTTTCTAGCTTCAGCAATGCCCATCAGCACTTGTGCTACAGTTCACAAGCAGACTGTGCCCCACACTTGCTGCTGTTCTGTCTGTTAGAAGTTTGAAGGTGGAGTCAGTGTGAGCACCATGCCCATCAGCAAACCCCCAACACTGCTACAGCACAAGGACCTGCACTTCCAGCACCTCTCTGAAACCTTTTCCTTGCGGAACTGGAAGAATGCTCTTAGCAAGCTGAGGGATTCCTGCAGCACTGTACAGGAAGACTGTTCCAAAGTCCCCAAGCTCCAAGGCATGCACCCAAACTGCACAGCACCCACCTGCTGTCCTGCTCCACAGCACAGGCTGTGCCAGATGACTTCACCCAACTCCCAAATGAGGACTTTGGAAATCCTGTTTTGTTTTAAAAGGAACTGATACCTGGGTTGTGTATTATTTCAATTAAAGTATTTATTTTGACCTAAAGTCACACTGCACATACTGAAAAACATTTAGGTAACAGTTCTTCTTGCTATTAACTCTAATTAGGTTTCCAGACATCTACCAAGATGGCAGTGCAATAACAGCCTGCTTTTTCCCTTGCAAAAAGTCAGTGACATTCATCAGAAAGTTGCACAAAACCCAGCACTTACCACCACCATGTGACTGACTACTTCTAGACCAGATTTTGTCTTACCTACGTTGTCTTAAATTCCTTCGCCTCGAATTATTTGGAGAGAGGAATGGATCTGACAGCCTGTCTCCCTTCCAACACAAAACATGGTGCACTCTTACATTAGCTCAACATACACACCTGAGATGAGGTCAGCTGCAATAGATGCACAAACCAAGTCAGAAAGAGAAGAAAGAAAATTCTGGAAAAGTTAAGATTCCAAAGTATTCCATTTTGTTACCATACCTGCCTGGCACTGTGTGCATGTACCTGCATCTGCAGTCTTTATCCAACTTGCAGAAGTGAAAGCAAAAGTGGAAGCTCTGCCAAAAGTGCAGCAGTCAACAGCCCAGAAACCCAAGATCGCTGCATACTATTTCG